AGGGAGGAAGGAAGGAAGGAAGGAAGGAAGGAAGGAAGGAAGGAAGGAAGGAAGGAAGGAAGGAAGGAAAAGAAATTGCTAGGATATTCTTGTGATTGAACCTTATGTACTGGAATGAACTTATTCACAATATTTGTACCTATAGTTTCAACTTAGAAACAAGGAGAAAGATTTGTTTCATCTACACTTGCAAACCCCTCACTTAAAAGATACAATATAAAACAGATACCTTTATCTTTACCAGTAACATGCACATGTAAATTCTAGGCCTATTTCGTTGCTTTAAATAGAAAGAGTAACTAACTAATGGTTGACATTTTTAGCCTTTTGAGAATCATTGCATAATAATAGTTACAGACTAGCTTCTTTGTGTCATGCAGTATAGCATACGCTTGAGTAATAAGAGCAGACACATACAGGGGGCATTATCTGGGCCAGCCTCCAGCCCTAGCACTACAAATGGATTCTTTCACTCTGAAGCACAAACTAATTGTCTCCGTAACCATAGGAGACCTGTACAACGTTGCCTGCATTTTATCTGGAAGGAAACAGAGGCATCAAGAGATGAGATAGCTGTGAAGCCATGCTCTCCTCACAATGCCTACATGTCCTTTGGTGACTTGGAGAAAAAGTGGATAGGAAATTTTCCTTTCTCATTTTGTAGGGCAGCTACTTACTGCGAAGCATCTCCTGAAGGGCACTATTGGCGACAGCAAAGATGTGAGGGGGAGCCTTGGATCGCCTCTTCCTGTGATAGGCAGCCATGACCTCTTTCTGATACACTGGAAGCCACTTGTAAGGGTTTATAGCCACGCAGAAGAGTCCTGAATACGTCTGAGGAGAGATCAGAGTGGATTTCAGAAAATAGACTAGCTGCACTCACAGGTTTGTCAGGGCTCCCCTGTCAGGTAAGGCTAGTGGAATATTTACTTATAAGGGAACATGAAAGAGGAGAGATGAATTCCTGTGGAGAAGGGACTTCTAAGAGAAGCCGATAGATCTGGGTTAGACCAGCGTTAAGACCTGGGATTACCTCTCTGTCTCTGGGAGATACACTAACTGCTAAAATATCTGACACACGTCTTTTTAAAAAAAAAATATTTATTTTTATTTTTATATGTATGAGCATTTGCCTGCCTGCATGCATGCATGCATGTACACACATATGAGCATGGTGCCAGCAGAGGCCTTAAGAGGACACTGGATCCCTGGAATCTGGAGTTACAGATGGCTGTGAACCTCCATGTTGTTACTGGGTTCCAAACCTGGTTCCTCTGCAAAATCTTCAAGTGTTCTAAAGTGCTGAGCCATTTCTGGAGCCCCCAAATGTAACTCTTGCCAAGAGATCGAGGTGAAACCACCACAAGGAACACCAATAACACTAAGAAGCCAGCAAAGAGGTGGAAGCCTTTTCTTCTAGAGCCTCACAAGAAGTAAGACCCTGCTGGTTTTACTTCATTGAAGACTAATGTTCTTCAGTACTGTATATGAATGAGGGTTCTCTTAAACTACCCTTTCAGTGGCAATTTTGTTGTGAGACAAATCTGTAGAGAAACTAAAACAGTTACCTAGTAAGTCAAAAGTTGAAGACTAGGGTGGTTGCATGTCACAGTCTTGATGATAATGGATCCCTGCTGCCACTATCTGAGCCTAATCTCAGTACTGCTTCTAATGCATAGGTTTAGAAGAAAGTGAAGGAGGAACTACCCATCAGGAGCCTAATGACTGTGGAAAAATCAGTTGGTTTCTCAAATGCTAGTTCGGTGACAGGCACTGAATTATCTGTTCTACTTGTTTTTTAAAATTTAATCCTGTAACTTGTATGTAGAGTCAGACATTACTATCCCATTTTATGGAAAGGTAACATCAGGGAGTTCAACAAGACAGGGGACATGTGGGGAAAGGAGAAAGCCATCTTCACCTGGGACAGCACAGACTGCTTTCTCAGCAACATGGACTAGGTGTCATAAAAGCAGATAGCCCCATCTTCTCTGTAGCAGGAATCTTAAAAGTTCTTATTAATAAAATCAAACCTGGGGCCAGTTATTGGGGTGAAATACTGGATGGCCAGAGAGACAGAACAAGCCACAGCTAACCTCACCTGGCTAACTTCTCAGCTGGTCTTGTTTCCTCAGGCCGGAAGCCTCTGTGTCCTTATATCAGAATGGCTCTCAGCTGAACTGTGCTGCTCAAAACCTAAAAGCTTAACCACCCAAATGCTTAACCAGGCCAAATGCTTCTGGTTTCTGGTCCTCACGCCTTACTTCTCCTATGGGCTTACTATGCTGTCCTTCAACAGAAGCAGTTTTCACAGTGCCAGGAATAGCCTTAAGCTGCTCTTAGACCTCTATGCATAAAGCAGTTGGTATACACACAGGAAATAGAAATTCAAGTCCATTTTTAGCAAATTTCTATCTAAATCTGTACTTAGCAGTATTTCTAGCCCATAAGTGAAATATTTATTTATTTATTGTTTGTTTGTTTGTTTGTTTGTTGAGAAAGGGTCTCTCTACATAGCACTAGCTGTCTGGGAATTCACTATGTAGACCAGGGTGGTCTGAAATTCACAGAGATCCACCTACCTTTACCTCCCGAGTGCTAGGATTAAAAACGTGCACCACCATGGCCAGCTTTTTTATCTTTTTCATTAACTGATTCATGACTTAAGTGTTCATTGAGCATTTGGTAGGAAAATTAAGCATTTCTCCAAAGAGCACACAGTCTAGTTCTAAAATGGTACATAAACTATCTGACAATCATGGTGACAGTTATGAGCATAAACACACAGACATGAGAGCCTCAACTCTTCTTTCCTAAAAATGCTGATACAGGTTGCCATGGAAATGGCCAATGACTGCTTATTTCTCTCTACACAGACAGGAATGTGTGCATGGGACTATATGTTTGTCCATTTCTAATGCCAGCCTTCTTGTGTTTGTGCACGTTAAGTGTTGCATACACATTAGTACAAGCATGTCCTGGATTTATCTTTACACAAAACTGGGTTGGAAGTGCAACATCTCAAATACATTTTCCTCCAGAAACATTTTTAATGGCATAGATAACCTTAACTAATAAGTAATTGAGCTGGCATTTGGACTCTTCCTATTCTGGTTCTAAGCTTCATACTTAGATATAGTATGGCATTCTACGGGAAATGACATGCATGCTGACAAGATAAAATTAAAGAAATGTTGGGATAGTTACTTCCCAGTGGATGTTCATATGAGGATATGTGAACTAAATGTAAAATATCACCGGAAGAGGTTGGGGCATAGCTAATATGAGTTCCAAATGAGATTTTCCTGGTAAAGTTGATATACACACGTAGATCATCCAGTGGTCATAACGTCTCCTCAGGGTGTGAAGCACAGACGCCTCATTGAGGTGAAGCAGCATTGACAGATCTTCAACCATTTCAAACTCTGCAGGGTTCATCTGTTGGATATTGTCCTCCTTAATTCTCAGACTCTGCCAAGAACAGGAAAATAAAAGATATATTTTAGCCCAGTTTGGTGGCACATGTCTTTAATGCCAGAACTGGGAAGGCAAAGGCAAGAGGATTCTCTGTGAGTTCAAGGCCAGCCATGTCTACATAGTGAGTTCTAGGACAGTCAGTACGACATAGAGAGATCTTGTCATACACACACAGAGATATCTATTTCTCTATTTCCCCTATGATATCATCACACTCTTTTGTCTATAGACTTAGTGAATGGACTAGACAGTAACACAGACAACCCCACAAGGACTAAGGCTTTCTTTACCTCTCCATCTCTAGTCTCTACAAGTACTTTTCCATCATCGCCACTCTCTTTAACCTCAGCCTCGATATAAACATTCTTCCCATCGTGAACCCAGCATCTCTTCTTCCCTAGAGAGGAAATATAGGTTATAACTACAGTATTTAAGGGACTCTTCATTGGACATTTTCATTCTGATGCAGTTTTGTTCCTGCTAAGTCTTGGAGTCATCAATATAAGAAGTCAGGAAGTTCTATAAAAACATAAATGCTAACCATGACTGCTTGGCCATGCATATTTGTAAAGGAACAAGAAAATTCTCAGCAAGCAGAGGTCTGCCAATATCATTATAAGAAAACTCTACCTAACTCACCTACACCATCCTATACCGCACAACACTGGACCCTTGGATAAGCTCCTGATCATCTCACTCTTTCCCAGGTCCCCTCAAATAAACTCACTCAAAAATTATCTGGTTACATCTGTGTAAATCTGAGTGTTAATGGACTTCTCCCTTAGGATTTCTATACATCATATTTTAATCTTGGAATGAAAGTCCAATAAGAGAAAGACATGCTAAATCGAAGAAGAGATAGAAGGAGAATATCCATTATTTTGTTATATACTAAAATTGACTCATGTTTACCATCTTATATTAATTTTCCTTCTTCTGTCCCCTCACTCAATGCCTTATCCCTAAGTGAAGAAGTCTTCTACAAAAGTAATTAACCCATAAAATACTTTCAGGTAAAGTCCTGTGAATACATGAGAATGCCTCTCTAAGTTCATTTAAATACTTAACAAATTCTCTTCCACCCAAGGTAAGCAACCACTTAAGATGAGTAGGAAATATGCTCCTCAAAGAAAATGAGTTTTAGCATGCTACAAGAGTTCTCACCATAATAGAAAAAGGGTAAGGAGAGAGCATTGATGAGAACCCCATTCAACTCTGACTGAGGGGAATGACAACTAGGTTACCACCACCATCTCTAATATATGAGTTACAAAAAGTTTCAGATATTTCATTTCTTCAGATATGTGGCCCTCACCAGATGCTTCCCCTAAAGGTGAGCTGCGGGTCATGGGGATGAAGTGTACAAAAAGAGGCAATTAATTGGGTATCATTCTCTTCTACCACCACGATTGTCTCTGCATAGAACTTTGTTGCTCACTATTTTCTTGCCACGACAATCTACAATGCACTGCTTTCTTCCTTTCCCTAATTACAAGCAACTTCCCCTGAAAATTGCTTTGTAAGCAGATGTGATAAGCCTTTGTAACTCAGTTTTCATTGCCTTTCTACTTGTTTATGCTTTTCAATGCCGGTTTTGTGTTGTACTTATTATTTTGGTCCCTTTTATGCAAACAACGATGTTTTTATGTTAGTGTATGAAAATACATTTGATTCTGAAAAGTATCTGTTTAGCACATAAAGGCTATGCATTTCAAAATATATTATCAGTTGAAAAAAATTTGATGATTTTCCCTCCCTCTTTTTTCTCTACCTTACCCCCTCTCTCTCTATCTCTATCATCTATCTATCTATCTATCTATCTATCTATCTATCTATCTATCTATCTATCTATCTATCTCTGTCTCTATCTATCTCTGAAGAAGGATAAGACTTGCCCACAGTGCCAATATTGGCATAGCTAATTATTAGCAGTAATTAGAATAATGACTCTAGAAGTCAAATTACCCTCCTCCTAAATTAGTTTTCCTCCATTATCTCATGCTTCCTTTAGCAAGTGCTTAGCTACTTTTCTCTCTCTGGAGCTTCCCTCAAGGAGGGCTCACCTCCTGCCCCATGATGAGCTCTTTGTTTTAACATCCCCGGAAACAGGAGGAGTGAAGAATTTTCAGAAGCCTTTCCCTGAGACCCAGTCCATGACAGCAACTTTTCTTTAAAAGATAAAGTAAATGAAATAAGTCAACTTTTAATTCCTTTTAGTCATAAATAATGCAGAGCTGCGAATGCAGATAGCACTGCGTTTGAGTTGGGTCATCTAGGATTCAGCACTGTCCTGGTTAGTAAGCTGTCAAGCAATAGTTTCAAGTGTATAAGTAAAGGATATTTTCCCGATATTATTTCCTGCAAGCTAACCAACCCTAATTAAATATCTCATAGGATATGAAGATGGTCAGCATTTTGAGATGTATAAAAAGATGTAAAACATTAAAACCAATCACAAACAAGCTTAAAAATGACCAGTGTTGTTTCTCTGTACCATTTCTTATGAGGCTCTGTTCTGTGGTATGAGATAAAATTTGAGTTAAACTATATTCAAACTTGTAGTCTTATTAAATAGATACTTAATCTCTTGTAGTACAAAATCATTCATTTGGTTTTGGAGTGATTTTCTTTTTATATTTACCTCTAAAACTACTGGTCTTCCTCCCTGGCACCCAGCAGTTCTAGGTTTCTTTTCTGGGTATCATTATACTACACTACACTTATTTTCAAACTGATAGCATTATTTGGTCCTAATAACAATGAAGGAAGGTAGGCAGGGCAAGTGTTTTTTGTTCATCTAACTTTGGCAGGTGAGTGAAAGAAGGCTCAGTAAGGTGAGGTGCTTTAGTCTAATATAAAATAGATGATCAGGAACAGGGAACTGGAAGCCAAAACTGTTGGCTACACTCATAGTCAATCTGTTTCCATTTGGCCTGAGTTCTATACACAAACTCTACTGTCCCCTAGCCCAGCGAGATAGACAACTTCTGGTGATTGTTCATCTTTTTGCTGCCACCGAATATCCATAAAGAAGGGTTGTATGCCTTTGGTTCATAGTTCATGTGTTTCCATTCGTTTGGCTATTTTTCCCTGTGCTTTATCCAAAGGCTGAGGAGCCCCCAACTGGATCAGGCCTTCTGAATAGGTGAGACAGTCGATTGGCTTGATCTGTTTGGGAGGCATCTAGGCAATGGTACTGGGTCCTGTGCTCATTGCATGAGTTGGCTGTTTGAAACCTGGGGCTTATGCAGGGATGCTTGGCTCAGTCTGGGAGGAGGGGACTGGACCTGCCTGGACTGAGTCTACCAGGTTGATCTCAGTCCTCAGGGGAGGCTTTGCCCTGGAGGAGGTGAGAATGGAGGGTGGGCTGGGAGGAAGGGGAGGGGGACAGGAGGGGGGAGAACAAAGGAATCTGTGGCTGATATGTAGAACTGAATGGTATTGTAAAATAAAATAAAAGGAAAAAAAAAGGGTTGTATGTTAATAAAATTAATTAAGATTATGTTGATCACTCTATTTTAAGCAATCATTTATAGTGTTGACTCTATGAAATGAATGATCCAACTATCTCTACTATACTGGTCCAATTTTGATTTTTCTCTCTGGTACCACTGTCACCATCTTGTCTTAGTTACCTAACTGCTGGTGATAGGCCTCTTCATGGCCACTCTGCTTTTGGCGATTGTTCTGTTATTGTATCTGATTTGAAGGATTATAATTAGTTACTTTGAAATACAATCACACTAATGAAATACAAGGATGGGAAACTGGGAGCTGATCCAGGACTGGTGGGTCTGTGACAGAAATACAATTTCCTTCATAATTGGCTTGAATTATAATTGGTCACACTGAAGTCTAACGTTGACTAATTCTGGGTGCCAAAACAATGTTCAGTTTTTATTGTGCACTGTTAAGTAATTTTGGAATTAAGGCATGTAGGTGACCTGATGTCAAACCACACTGTGAATCTGATTTCCAAATCTCTAACTAGCTGAAATGTAGAGAATGGTCATGCAGCCCAGATATTTAAAAAAGAATGGGGGCAAAGGTTACATTTACTTGGAAATTTTAATGTAGAACTTGGCCTTTTTTTTTTTCTTGAAGCTAAATCCTCATTAACCTTTGGCCTTGCCTGAAGCACAAAGAAATTGTGAATCTCAGTGTCAGTCTCCTAAATGATCTTTCTTTTAGTTTGGCTAAGAAACCCTGCTGACCTGTGCCAGAGGGCCAGGTTCCAACAGCAGGAATGTCTGAAGACAGGCAGAGACCAACTCTCACCTCCAGCCTCTCAGCCTCCATCATTTCCTTCCTTCTTTTTCACAATGTGCAGAGCCAAGTCACAGTCCTCTCCCTGCTAAAACATGTACTTGCTGACAATTCAGAGGTTTCTAAGAAAGTCTTGACCTAAGGCAACTCCTAGAAGAGAATGCTAGTCTGAGAGTTTCATAAATGGGATATGGGACTGGGATTCCTCCCAGTCACCCTCTTTTTCTTGGGAATTTCTATTACTGACTTGGACACTTGATGTCTTCAATTGTTCAAAGATTCAAAGATTGCACACCATTCAAATAAGTTAGTCTCCAGAACCAATGGGTCATTGCAATCAGGTAAATAGTTATGCCACTTAAAGTGATATGAACTCAAGCCAGCAGTTTCCAGCTTACCATCAAAGGCTGGGGACTGTAACAGAGGATCATCCTTATTTCTTCTGAGAAAGGCTGCAGCATCTCCAAACTCAGACAGATCCATCATTCTTAAAATATCCACTGGGGGCAGGAAGAAAATGTAAGGCTATATCGATCATGTGAAAGGGTTCGTTCTACAAAAAGACAGAAGTGGGGAGAAAAGTAGAAATGAGGCACTTGTTCTAAAATGATAAACCATTCATAATAGACAGACCAAAGAATGCTTCTTCTATGCCTGTGCCATGACACAACTGTACTCAAGAAGATACAACTTCAACAAAGCCAGGTTCTCCATAAGCATTGACAGTTCAGTGCCTGGGATCAACAGTGCTTTCAGGAACCTGTGCGAATGTATCAACTCCTTTAAACATCAGAAGAAAATGTAAATAAAATAGTGATGACATATAATAACAATCTTACCCAGCTTTTATTTGTCTTTATACTGACTAAATTTTAATAATTTTGTGGAGGAAATATCTCTAAAATGACAAAAGTCCTTGAGGCTGGTAGAAGTCAAACTACAACCTTGAGCCACAGAGTTCTGACCTTGGCAAATGGCATAAATGGGCAAAACTGACAAATGTCAAGTTGCAAACACTAGGACTCTTGATATGAATGGAAGGTAGAATCTAGTGCCTTTAGATGTACCAAATATCATACACAGAATGAGGTGACAAAAGTAGAGAAGGTATTCAGATACTTTTTCAGTATGAGTATAAAACCATAAAATTGTGAGTGTCCTTTGGGAGATGACTATCTGGATCAGATAATTTACAGAGGCAGTAAGCAAATGCCAAAGGCAGTAGAGAGAAAGCAAAGGCTGGAAGTAGGAAGCAGGTTGGGGTGATGGCATGAAGCAGGAATGAGTGAAAATGATCACTGGATCAAGAAATTCTTGGCAAAACTGAATTGCCAGACAAATGAGTCAGCCTAAAGATGAAATCCTTCATCTTGAATTATGGTTATACTATAGAGAATTTTTATGAAGAAATCTCCACCCACTATCGAGTGGGGTGCTGGTACAGTAAGGTCAGAATTAGGGAGGCTGGAAGGAGACTAAGTAATGGAAGATGTGGACACACAGAGCCCAAACCCCCAACTCATGTCCTGAGTAGATGATTTTGACATGAGTGCTTTATACTGGGAAATACTTTTGCTCTAAACTTTGTGACACAGACTCCTTCTCTCCATCATTTCCTCATACTTGAATCCAAGAGTCCCTTCCTTGACCTTGATTTTCTGATTCCCCAAAGATAGAACCCTTGGCATCATCTCTGATTCTTCCTTCCCTGCCATGTCCATATTCAGTGAATCACCATGTTCTACTGTTTCTGTGTTTATCACATCGTTATCCACTTTTATCTGGCACAACTTTGATTGCCAGGAAGCTTACCCTTTCTCTGACAAGTGTCTGGCCTCATTCCTAGGCACAAGCCAGACATAGCTATGTCTGTAATGAGGCTTGTGTGTCTAGACACAGATGATTAGATCATACTTGAGTACATGTTCCAAATGGGCAATCAGAATGTGTCATAGAGCATGGGTTTGGAACTTAGGGGCCACTCTCAGTCTGTATTCTGCTTGAATGGAGTGATATAAACTTGAAGGTTGAGATTGGCACTCTAGTGTAACTACCACTTTTACATGTGTCCTAATCAGTAAAGGTATCAGTAACAAAAAAGTCATGAGACAGAAGAAGCAATGTATGAGAGCAAGGAAGGAAAGAGAGAGGTAGCTTTCCTAGTAATGGTACCCAGTGAGACTTAGATCCAGCTCTTGGTTTTGGTGCCTGTAAATTCAACAAACTCTTAACCAACTCCTCCTATTTAAGCCCCAGTTAAAGTGTTTGAGACCTTGAGTGCGTGTCTCATATTTTTCCATCAAATACCTTTAAATAAAACAATTTGTCACACTTATTTGTCCTTATCTTCTGTCCTAGAAAATGTAGGGTGTTTATAAGAGCCGGCACATTGCTTGATACATATAAAAATCTCAATCATTATTATTAACAATT